AGCAGCTAGAATTTCCATTTCTCATCTTACAAACAATATCATTAAATCATCCTCAAAATTTATATAGCTCATCCTCCTTCCTCCAACATGACTTCACCCAAACCACCAAAGATAAGTACACTTATTCTATCTTTAAAATATTCCTCATGAGGAAGCTCCCCAATCTGTGTAGAACCAAAACCTCTTCCTCTGTTTGGCTATAAGTTATCTGCTTCTGCAACTACTTTTCTCATTCCTCCTCTGCCATCTCTGTCACTTTCTTACCCACATCCCTTTAGAACTGCTCTGTATATATTGCCTTTTCTTGTCAAACTCATGTTGAAAGGTAGTCTTTGTGATTTGTTCCCATAAAGCCAATGGGGACTTTTGGATGCCATAAGCCAGCCTGCAGCCATGAAATATCTTGTCCTAGGCTCTACATAAAGGTCAGCCCTACAAACTATCTATTGCCCATAAACAGGATTCTGGCAAGGTTGGGTTCCATTTGGAAATGGTTCTCTCAAATAGTATTAATTATCTTCTTTTGAAGTGTTCAGGAATAGATCCTATCTATCCTGGTAGGGGGAAAAGTTCACATGTAAAGTGATGACTGTTGTAAACTACTGTTTCTTTTGTTCTAATAGAAAATTGTTTTGTTCATGTGAATTGGCTAAAAATGGCAACAAGTGTATATAAAATTTTAAATGTCTTCTTTTCTCTCTTGTAGATATTTAGGATAGTGTTATAGCTTTGATTAGGACATCTTTAGTTTTAGTAACATCTATATTTTCTTTCCTAATAGACCCAAGACATCAAAATTAAAACTTTATATGTAGATGTTTCTGTCATTAAGCCTGGCTTTTGTTATAGTAACATGCAAAATACTGATATTAAAGATATCATAACAATATGGAAAGAGAATTATGACAAAAAATGCTACAGCGTTTTTTTTCCTGTAAGTGTTCTTTCCTGATATGTGATATTTAAATGAAAATGAAATATAAATATAGATTTCTGAGGTTGCAGAAATTTTACCAGTGTACTTAAAAGGATTTTTGGAATAATATGCATTCACAATATTTTAATTAGATGACCCTAAACTTTCTGATCAAGTCAAAGGGAAATATTTCTGACTAGCCCAACAGAAAAATGGTGAATATGCAATAGGCAGGCTGTCTTGACAAAAGACAGGCTGACAAAACAAAGTACAGATTTCATTCAACTTGGTATTCTGGTGCATATTTTGCTGACCTAGAGAATTACTTACAATGATACTGAAACAGGATAGCAATGCTGCAAAGAATTCACTGGAGAATGGTAAATATCATCAGGAAAATCTCAGATCTCATTCCTTCATTCCATTCATTCTATCTCTATACAGAAATCTGTATCCATGGGAACCTCTATCCCTATCAGGAAGTGTGCATTTGATACCAAAAAGGGTAAGAATGTTTTCTGGAATAGAAACAAGATAAAAAAAGAAAAGAAAAAATAAGGAAGAAAGGAAGGAAGCTGCTGGGAATTAAAATTTATAATTTTAAAGCTATAGAATATATTGACCAATTTATATATGGGATAGACACCTAAAGAGATGAGAAATGAGAGTGGGATATTTTGGGGGCATGGACCAAGAGGAATGGACGTTAACTGGGCATAATTGGCTGGGATGAACATCTCTGACTGTATCAGTCTGGGGAGAGAACCATCAGCAGTTAATGGGAGGATCCTTAGCCCAGGGATGGATGGTGAAAAGACCACACTGAAAGTCAAGGTGTAGAAAGTCACTAAAAATACTCCTTGTAGTGTCTTTTCAACCACTCATTACTGAATGTGAGGAGCACTAATTATTGCGTTTGAGGCTCAAATTGGGCACTTATCTACATGTCCGTGATTTTACCTTCCTGTATTATGACTTGGAAACTGTTCTCCTTTGAAGCTGGTAAGTGAATGCCAGACTGAAAAAGCCTTTCTATGTAGCTATGGAGTCCTTAGCCCTTACACAGAAGGCATTTTATGGGGAACATATGTTATATTGATATTGATAAGTTAAGAGGTATGTGAAGGCCAGAAGTCATAATTAAGCATATTATATTTTTTAATATTCATTGTTTTCACTCATGTTCTAAGACAAACAGAAAGTAGATCGTTAACAAATTACCTTAGCAATTCAGGGTTTGAATTCTTCTCCTGACTCCTTCATTGAGTTGTACCCAGAAACTCCATTAGGAACACATATTTTAATCTAATTATTTCCACTTGTGATAAATAAAATGGAGACATTTATATTCGTCATTCTTCCTGCTTGATAAAAACCTTCCCGTGTTTCTAATTAAAAGAATCTTAGGTGTATTATGATTTCATGGGTATTTTTTAAGTTATCATTATGATTCTAGTCTGATGTTTGACTATGATGCTGGCAACTAAGTAAAATGGAACTATCCTTGTGGGTGGTATAAACCCCCTCCTCCCTCTCAAGGATTTTTTTTTCCTACATAAATTAGCATAAATTAATTTCACTAAAAGAAAAAGGTGAGTTTGAGTTTTGATTAGCAGGTTAAAGCAAATGTATCATTGGAAGAAGCACCAAAATCTGTGATGCAATTTTAAAAGGTGCATGGATGGGCCACCAACCCAACACTCTCATTAAGAAATTTCTACCATTTCCCTGCAGAAGAGCTTACATATAAACACATATGTACATTCTTATTTCCTGATAAGTTTCATTTAACTATGCTTTATAGTACGAAGTTTTGTTAATGCATTTGCTGCTAGTCGTTCTTGTGTATAAGCACTTATTAGTGGTTTTGCGTCCAACTAAGTCTCAAAATGTTGCCTACTACAGGAATTCACTCAGCTGGACAGATGTCTTTCTCACCTCTATGCATCTCTTTCTTATTGCACCTTTGATTGCTACAGTGGACTTTACTCCTGGGGCATTCTCCAAGTTATTTTTTTAAATTAAGTTTTGTATAATTGCAATTTGCTTTGAGCTAAGCTGGAAATCAACCTACTTTGAAGGAGAGGCCAGTTCACACCTCATGTGGGATAAAATGTCATTTTCTTCAAGATGTAGAGGTTATTTGGTAATTGTATAATTTCCAGTGATTTCTGTTCTTTTGGCATCAATACTGCATTCTCAACTTCAACTGCGGAAAGCTGACATAGGATCAAACAGACATTAGATTTTCTAAATGAGACTTGTGATTTTGAGCTAGTTGTTTGGTGTTTAAAAAAATCTATTTCCTCAACTAAATTATAAACTCACCCTTTTATCTAAGATAACAACGGTCATAGATGTCACTCGTGTAATATCTAACCTTAGAACAGAAAGCAATGGTAGCATTTCAAAGAAACGAACTCCCTTTTTTGCCTTCTTATCTAGATGGTCCTGGAAAATAGAATTATCTGGATTCCCTAATTCCTTTTTGCATTGCTTTCTCTTTTATGGAGTGGACTCTGTCTGGAATAATTATTGTGGGCCAGTGCAGAGTGCAAGGCAGGAAGGACCTATGGCTTTCACCTCCTAGGATGTTTATATGCTGAGCCAAGGCAACTCAGCATTTTGGAAGAATAAAATAATTCATTACAATAAAAAGTGAACACTTTCCATATAATTGATAATTATCTATGAAATAAATCCTTTTCCCATACCATTTTGCCAAAGGTACCACACACATGATACTCTCGGCTTTGTGCATTCTTATGTTTCACACATTCTTTTACCCAAACTGGTCCTTCTGGCATCAACTGATGTTGCATGTTTGAATTTTACTTCATCAAATTAAGATAATATAATTGTTGAAACAACTCATTGATGGCAGTACGTACAAAGTGAAGTTAAAATTATAGTATAATTTTGATAAAATAGAATAGGGAATACAAGTTTATAATGTTGTGAAGGAGAATTCTATGTGTGAGAAAAGTGAAACTTAACCTCTGCAAAGAGGGAGGGGAGGAGAGAGGGAGGGGGCAATGCATTGGACTCTAAGACTATTATGAAGTCCTTCATGAACTTAACTAAGGATACGTACAGCGATTGAAGTCATAAAATGACCTCAACGACTTTTATTTTAAATCATGTTATCAAAATCACTCCAGCTTCTTTGCCATTAACTCTACTTTATAGTTCAGTGATATACTTGATGCAGTTATATTTTACTCGATGCCAAAATGTTTTTCAAAGTGGCCTTTTCCTTTTAATTACAATTGCAAGCTAATACAAATGGATTTTTAGAGTCAGGCAGAACTTCTACTTCTGTTATCATGACTCACTCAGGAATATAGATAGGTGTCTCATTTCCCCAACGAGTGATAACTCTTCTGCCATATACTATTGTGGAGGACCCATTTAAGTCTAATACTCAATGTGCAGAACTTCTGAACACCATGGAAGCTTACAAGGTACACTTGTGGCATCAAAATTCACTGTAATCTTTATAATGTTAAAAAAAATACTTCATTAATAATCAAGGCTGAACTTGACTGCTGAACTTGGTTAGTTTCTGAGGTTACCCTAATCAACTGACATTAGATACAGGTGAATCACAGAGATTCACAGGTGTCTGTCAGATTGGGTCAGATAAAGAAAATATGGAGATCAAATGGGAAAGCATTTTATGAAGTCTTTTGCTTTCATTGAAAACCAAGTCAAGAGTTCCTGTCAAAGCTTTAATTCAAAATGATAAGGTGAGTGTACTTAAGTTGTTACAGATGAACAGGACTCCCTAGAGTCTCCTATGTTCACTCGGTAATAAGTGTAAGATACTGTCTACGGTAGGAAAGGTTAAATGACACCTAAAGGGTTCATTCATTCAACAAGCATATATTGATTACTTATTAGGTGCTGGCCATACAGAGATGACAATGACATGATCCCAAATATATGTTGCTTCCAATGTTTTACACTATCTGTGGATTAAATTCTAAAAGTTAGTGAACTTACAGAACTAATCAAGTGTAAAAGTAAAGCAGTGTGTTTAGCCAGGACTTTGTAATATGGACACCAGAGTAGAAGAGTGGTTTCAGTAGACATGTCTTCCTCTAAATTCACTCATGACTTGCACTGGGTGGATTTTTTTCTTTGCTGAGCCTCGTCTGACAGCTGCACAAGTTTCCTCTGGCTTCTCTCTTTTAATCAAGGGCTTTTTTGCAGGAGCCTTCATTCTCCACATCACAACTGGGTGCCGAGGCCCAGTAGGACTCTGAATTCGGATGATCTTGGTTGAGGCAATGTAAGACATTTTCACCGTTTGCACTACAGCATTCATTAAATTTTTGGCCGCTTGGATCAGGGAGGTGACGCTGTCCAACTGCAGGGGGAAGAAAAGAGCTATTATTCAAGAGTGCAATCAGGAATTTAAAGAGATTTAATGTTATAGACAGGGATACTCTATTTTGTTTTTACCCCAGAAATAAATAAATCCCTATTTTGTGTATCTATGTAAATTATCTACATTAATCTATATACTTATTTATCATTTATGTATTTATCTGATGCATAAATATATTCATATTCTATCTCCTAAAATGATATTTGAAAGAGATTAATTTCCATCTCTTGGTGTCAGTGACTTCTATATAATATTGTAAGATCCAAATGGCCGCTGCTTTCTTTGTAATGGATCTCCTTATTTCCAGGGGTAATTCTGAGCCTTTTCTATAGAAGATGACTATCCACAATAAAAGCTATATTACGGATAAGTAACTTTATGAGAACAACAACTGAAAATTCTTCCTTCTAGGGAATTTACAGTTTAAGATAAATATCATACACATATACAGGTGTACATGTGCATGTATACCATTCACTTTCATGAATATTTCCCAAATAATTCTACCTAAAAATGTCTCTTTTTTAAACACAGAACCTGTAAACCTATCATGCAGTGTGTTAAAGTAGATAAAGCCAAGGCTTTTCAGTCAAATAAAGTTGGGTTTAAATTCCAGGTCTGCCTTAGAACTTGGGCAAATCATTTAACCATTTCCATCCTAGTTTTCTCAGATATTTATAGAAGAAAAAATGCTTATTAAAGTTAAATAATATGTGCCAAGAACCTAATATAGTGATTTCCAGATAGCTGATTGCTGTTCAATACATTTCCTTGTTTCTTTCTATTTGTTTGTTTACTTTGAGAGAGAGAGAGAGAGAGAGAGAGAACAGGGGAGGACCAGAGAGGGATGGAGAGAGAGAATCTCAAGCATGCTCCTCACCACCAGCATAGAGCCCAACACGGGGCTTGAACTCACAAATTGTGTGATCATGACCTGAGTCAAAATCAAGAGTCAGGCATTTAACTAACTGAGCCACCCAGGTGCCCCATTTCCTTTGTTTCTTATGAAGATTGAGAAAATTGTTTAATTGAAAAGATGCATTAATGAAATTACTAAAACAAATTTTTCCCCACATGATTTTGTTTTTAATTGTTATATTTTTTTTTAATTTTATGTTCACAAACATAATCTCAGGGGTAAATGGAGTGATAGTCCTAGAATCCTGCAAAACACCTTAGAGCTAAGCCAAGTTGGTTCATTTTTATACAACTAATGCCTCTTCCATTATTTCAGTTTGGCAGATTGTCATCCACAGCCAACTCATCCAAGAAGATGTGCCTCCACTGTCAACTCTCTGTGATGTGTGCTGTCAGGGCTGAGACTCAAACACCAGCTCTGTGGTTGCTAAAATCCATCAGCAGTTGCATGGCTTGAGTATTCTACCTTTGCAGCTTGAGGAGTCTCATCTCACACACAGAATAAATGAGTGAAGGAAAGTAGTAAGCTGAGGTTATGTGCCTGGGGCAGTGGTCTAGCTGGCTGTTTCCTAGGAAGAAAATTTAATTAGCTCCATTGTATGCCAAGCCTGAGATCCTTGAAAAGGTAACACCAAAAACTATGTAATTTGAAAGGCAGTAGTACTTGGCAACTACACATCTTTAAGTCATTTCACTTATTGAAGCCAGAAATGTAAAATCTGTACATGTGGCAGGAATGACAAATGCTTTGCAAACATTAAACAGGATCTCATGAAGCACTCACATCTATTTCAGAGGACACTTAGAGCTTCTGAATCTGCACACAACTTAAAAAATAAAAGCCACTAGATTTTGAATAGAATAACACCCTTCATTACTAGTGTTCCTCTATGAATGGATTGTAGGCTAAAATCTGTCCTTCAATAATTAGCAATTTTTATTAAAAACTTTGGGGAGCCAGTTAGATCCTGAAAACAATTTCCAATCTCACCATAGGAAGAAGAAAGTTTTTTTCTAAATGATGAATTAACATGACTAGTATTGAGGATAGTCGGTAGTATTCTCTCTCAAACATTAATATTTGGTTTACTCCAAGGGCTCTGCACTACCCTAAAGTCTTCCATGGCAGAAGGTTCTAGAGACCTGCTATCATTTAGGATTTCGCCAGTGGCTTTGGCTTTTCTACCCTCTTCTCCTTTTGACTTTGTAATCTTGTCATGTATAGATTGTATTTATTTCATTTCCTTTTGATTTTCCATACAAGTGATATATATTAACCAGTAGCCTAGAGAGGATGTTTAAGTTCAATCCATGCCTTAAAATGGAGAAATGGGCTTGTCTTCTTTCCTCATTGAATGAGCAAAGTGCTGTCTGTGCCATTGTGATCTCCAATGCTGGCCTCTGACAAAGCCTTTTATTTTCAAATCCTACATGGCTGTTGTAAAACTTCTCCTCTGGGTGACTCAGAAAAACTGTAGGACAAATTATCCCCCTAGGAGAGCATGAAGACTAGTTTTGCAGACAGATTAGTACAATTGCTACAAGAATACTGTTATTTTATGATGAAAGCTTGTAAGGCATTTTATAAGGATTTTGAAGTCTCAGAAAGCTATGTGTGCTATGCATCATTCTGCTATTAGCCAAATCACTGGCTACACAAGCAAGAGGCACAGACAAGCCTAACAAATGGTAGGAAATTTTGTTTGAGGCCAAGCAGTGGCTCAGGCCTACTCATAGAGAGTAACTGCACAATTTCCTGTCTGAAAAACATTTTTATGTCTTTTTATCCAGATCCACTTTGATGAAAAATCCTTCCAGGGAAGTACTCAATAGAACCTTCTTTGTGAAAACACAGGCAAATTTGAGTCAGGCAATGCCTCACTTTGGGGTCTCTGTGTTCAACTTATGGAATAAAGTTTTCTGAATTTCACAAATGCACCTGTGCAAAACAAGAATGTTAATATACTCTAAAAGCCTGGTAGAGCAGACCAATCAGACTATAAAACTCAAGTTCCAAAATTCTCTCCATGACAAATCACTTCAATTAACTGAACATTCTTCTAGGCAGATGCAACTTGTTTACCAAAGAAGGAGCTGGTTTCCCTAATATCTGGTAACATTCCTCTCTGATCTTGAAGTGTTCTCGATCAAGGAATCAACTGAGAACAAAAATGGCTTTTAAGGCCTTAAACCTCCTAAAGTTATATGTAAACATTTGCAGTCTCTATCCCCCCCTTTTCATAACAGAGGACAAGGTTTTAAATAACTCTCCAAAGAGGATTCTGACTGAAATGAAACAGCTCTGATAAATTGGAAGTCTGCTCTCTTACCACAGTAAATAGAAAGATAGCCACCTTTCCTGGGCTGCTGATTTGTGCTTATTCTTACAACACTGGTGTGGTTTTAAATAACTGAACTTCATGGTCTACTAATGTTACAATAAGTTTCTCAATATGTCCAAACATAAATTAGTAAGTTCTGCCTCATTTTTTCTGAAGATCTAAATAAATATAAAGAGATTACGTTTGGTAAATTAGTTCTTACCCTAACTGCAAGATGCATTTTGCAAACAATCCAAATTATGACCATCTAGGATCCTACTCAATATTATCATTTTATAGGAACCTTAGTGTAACTAGTTTAGTTTTTCTGCTGTGCTTTGCGGTATGTAAGTCTGTGATTTCAGTTAGGCTACAGTGCATATTCGTCCAGTTCTAAAACTGTTTTCAGACAAAAGGTTTGGTCCTACTCAGATATGCCTATAACTCTTTGCTATGGAAAAAAGAGTAGTTCAACAACAATACAGATGTTTTCTTTTAACTCACAAAATGTCAACTTTTCATCCATGTGACTACTATACACAGAACATCTGGATTTTTTTTTTTTTTTTAACAAAAGCCAATGTTAAATACCCATGATGTAAGTCCTCCAAAACTATGTCAAGGTGGAATGCCTGTTGGCAAACCGTTGTCAAAATCCTATTATAATACTGATAGCCAAGAAAAATGAAAAGACATGGTAGTTATTCCTTCTTTTACTTTTCTAAGTTTCTTGTCTACATTATGTCAGAACACCAGAATGTCTTCTACTATACTATTCTAACTCTTCACATTCTGGATACAAGACCTCTATCAGATACATGTTCTACATGAGGATGCTCAGGAAGTGAGCCTCACTCCCACTGATGTGGATCTCATGCTCTTGCACCCGGGCTGTCATCTGAGGAAGGCATAGTTTCCCAACCCCTGCGAGAACCGCCTTGCAAACTATTGCCACTGGGACTCCTGTGAGGAGAGAAACCTGATGTTGCCTGAAAATATGTATTTCCTTTCCTATAACCTTCTGGGTAAACTGGTGCCGAGTGCAAACTATGAAATTGTTGTGAGTCCCAATGTTTACCTAAACATAAAGACCCCTGGTGGATATCGCACCTGCACAAAACAATACTTGAAAGCAAATGTGTGGAGTTTGGCTCCAATTATGCTTCCTAGATGTTGGCCAGGTTCTAAGTAACTGACATAAATTAACTCACAGCAACAGTAGGAGGTAAGTACTCCTATTATCTCCATTGTATGGATGAAGAAACAAAGGAACTGGAAGATTTGGTAGGTTGCTCAAGGCAATACAGCCATTAAATGGTAAGGTTGGAATCTGAGCAAAGGCAGTCTAGTTCAAGTACCTGGTGCTCTTACCCACTATACACCCTGACTTTCAGTACTATATCACTTCCAATGTGAGTTTATTTTCAGATAATGAATAGTTGAAAAGATTGCACTAACATTAATATAATATCTAAAATTAAAAAATTAACTACCTAATAACTGCTTTGTGGAAGGTTATGTTGGAGAAGTAGATAAAGTACACCAAAGATGGCTGATTGGACTAAAACAAACTCTGGTCTCTAGCTTAGAGACCCCTCCTCCAGGTTCTTCTTCCTTTGTTTGCTGTGCGCGTGAAAATCACCCCTCACCCCCAAACACAAATATGGAGGCTGATAAATATAAATTACCCTTCCTGCTCACAGTCAGGGCTCAGATCTTTGGAGACATGGTCTCCTCTGA